CCTGGTGTCTCCTATCTCTTTTGGATTTGGATACCATGTTTTGTTTCTGACAAATGGATTGAAAAATCATAATCTTACTTCAAAGCCCAGAACATATGTGAGTGGGAAAAAGGGATCTCTATGGACATTCCTTCTCCTTTTAGTATTAAGCGGTGACATACAGCTAAATCCAGGTCCCTTGACAAATATTAACAAAAATTCAGCTGAGCTGTTTTCTGCGAATTTCCAACAACACCATCTTGTGGACAGTTCTAGTATGGCGATGGTGAGGACTCCCACTGGACCTGAACAAGATGGAGGATTCTCCTTGAAGCTGAATTTGATGCCAACCACGAGATATGATCATTCAGCAAAGTTGATGAGCGCAAAATATGCAGTCAACAAGCAAAAGGAACTGAAATATTTTCAAACTGTAAACCATGCAAAGGTGATATGGGACTCAAAGGCCAAGCCAAAAGGCATATTTGGAGGCCATCTTAACATCCGAAGCCTTCTTTCAAAGGTTAATGAAGTTAACCAGCTACTGAGCAACTCAAATATTGACTTCTTAGCTTTGAGTGAAACTTGGTTAAATGATAATATTCCTACCAACATGATCAATGTTCCAGGTTACACATGTCACAGGAAGGATCGTCAAAATGGAAAAGGAGGTGGAGTTCTCATCTATGTGAAAGATAGATTTAAATGTTCTATTATTGAAGCTTATACATTTGGGATCGAATGTCTTGTGTTAAATATTGTTCTATCACCCACAATGAAATTTAATATTATAGTTTTATATAATCCACCATCTCATGGTGTTTCATTTTATAGGGATTTTGATGAAATGTTGAAACTGTTGAACCTAAAAGGTGAAACAATTTTATTGGGAGATTTTAATATCAATTGGATGGACAAATGTAAAAAGGATAAATTAAAAAATATAGTGTCAAAACATAAATTGTGCCAACTTCTAAAAAATCCTACCAGAATTACTAGGAGTAGTCAAACTTTAATAGATTTGATCTTCACAAACAAACCAGAACGTGTCACTAAAACATATAACCTTGTGACAGGTCTGTCAGATCATAATATGACCCTCATGACCAGAAAACTGACTAAGAAACGATTAGCAGATTTTTTTTCTATTTCCAATGTTAATAAAGGCCAGAGAGCGATTCCAAAGCACAAACTTCCTCATTTTGAAAATGAATTGAAAAACATTAAATGGGACAGTGTAATTCAAATTGAAGATGTAGACCTGTGCTGTAATCAGTTAACTGAGATTCTATCAAATACTATACAGAAATTTACATGTACTCTGAAGAACATTAAGAAAAAACATTGTTTGCCCTGGATAAACAATGATATTCATCAACTTATGAAAAAGCGTGACCTGGCACTGAGAAAATCCTTAAAAAGTAAGCTACAAACTGATATCCTAGTCTTTAAAGGATTAAGAAATAAAGTGGTGAGTGAATTGAGAAAGTCACAATCTTGTTACTTCATGCAGATGTTTGCCGATTCTAGGGGAAATAGCTCACTAATTTGGAAACATATTAATAAATTAACCAATCACACATTTACTTCAGGACATTGTATATCAAGACTTAAGGTAAATGGCATGGTTAGTGATGATGCTTCACAAATTGCAAATGAATTCAATTCATATTTTATTAACTCTGTTCAACAACTTGCAGTCAGTTTTATTCCAAAAACGCTGCAATGCAACGATGTGGAAGATTCACCCTCATCTTTTCACATAACACAGGCTAATCAAAATAAGATACATGAAATCATCAGCCACCTGAACAAGTCAAAAGCAAAAGATATTTTTAACTTAGACACCTCTTTAATCAAAGGGCATGTTACAACATTGTCAAAACCAATATTACACTTAGTAAATCTATCAATTAAATATGATAAATTCCCACAAAGTTTTAAAACAGCTGTGGTGACGCCAATTTTTAAGTCTGGTGCAGCAGACGAGGCATGCAATTATCGACCAATCTCAATTGTGCCAATAATCTCAAAGGTACTTGAAAAGCTGGTGGCTGAACAATTGATGACACACTTAAAAGAAAATAATTTATTAAATCCTAAACAATTTGGATTTCGGCCCAAACATTCCACTGAAATGGCTGTGTGTCATCTAACCGAAATGATAAAATGTAGTTTGGACCAAGGCAAATGTGTTGGAGCAGTATTTTTAGATTTCAGAAAAGCCTTTGATACAGTAAATCATCTAGTCCTGCTGTCAAAATTAAAACAATTTAATATTTCAAAACAAACCATAAATTGGTTTACATCATATCTTGAATTGAGACAACAATGTGTTAAAATAAATGGTACAAAATCTGATATACAAAGCTGTGATCTGGGGGTGCCACAAGGATCCATTTTAGGTCCGCTGCTTTTCAGCTTATATATTAATGACCTGCCCAACATTTGTAAAGAGACAACTTGTCAAATGTATGCGGATGACACAATAATCTATGTGGCGGCAGACACCTCTCAACAGGCCTCAGAAACATTAAACAGACAGTTAAGTGAAGTATCAACATGGGTTGAAAATAACTGTTTAACTCTGAACTATGATAAAACTGTCTCAATGTGTTTTTCTCTGAAGAAACAATCACTAAATGAAATTGAGGTCAGCGTTAATCAACATAAAATAAAACAAGTTAAGGAGTTTAAATACCTGGGTGTTATTTTGGACCCTAAGTTAAGTTTTGATCGGCATGTTAAAAAAATGACTAAGACCATAAAAAGAAATATAAATTGTTTCAGGTTGATTAGACCCTGCTTATCAGTTCAAGCTGCACGAGTTTACATGCATGCTATGATATTATCCCACATGTCTTATTGTGCCATTGTCTGGGGTCAGGCCACAAAGTCTGTAGTGAAGCCTTTGCTATCATTATATAAACAAACACTCAAAATATATGATCGAAAGCCAATGAAGCATCATCACTGCCAAATTACTGAAAAATACAACATGATGAGTTTTGATAATTTTATACATTTTACCTTTTTAAAAGCTTTGTTTAAGTGTCTTAATGGATTAGCCCCTGAAGTAATGTGTAAAAACATCCAAAGGTGCAGCAGTGAGGGTGTGCAGACTCGAGCTGCAGTCAGTGGGAGCTGCAGAGTGAGAAGGTGCCGGACGACTCTGGGTCAGTCTGCATTCTCAGTGAAGGCCTCACATCTGTGGAACTCTTTGCCGCTGGAGCTGAAGTCACAGTCGGACACTAGACTTTTCTCCACTAAACTGAAAAAGTGGCTTAAGGAAAATCAGAAGTGTGAGCACTAAACCTGAATGTAGTATGGACAAATGGGGTCAGTTATTTTTATTGATGTGTGGTTGTTCTTTTCTCCCCTTTTTGTTAAAAACTTGTTTCTTCGCTTTCTCCAAAAGCCTAACCAGGGACGGGGGCTGCAAATTAGCCTTTGGCTAGAAGCCTTGTGTACTTCACATCGGTTACCTGTGGGTGACAATGTTTTTTTTGTACTGTCCCTGTCAAATAAATAAATAAATAAAATAAAAATAAAAATAAATACAGGAGGGAGGTGGACCGGCTGGTGTCCTGATGTCTCCTACAGGAGGGAGGTGGACCGGCTGGTGTCCTGGTGTCTCCTACAGGAGGGAGGTGGACCGGCTGGTGTCCTGGTGTCTCCTACAGGAGGGAGGTGGACCGGCTGGTGTCCTGGTGTCTCCTACAGGAGGGAGGTGGACCGGCTGGTGTCCTGGTGTCTCCTACAGGAGGGAGGTGGACCGGCTGGTGTCCTGGTGTCTCCTACAGGAGGGAGGAGGACCGGCTGGTGTCCTGGTGTCTCCTACAGGAGGGAGGTGGACCGGCTGGTGTCCTGGTGTAGTGGTAACAACCTGGAGCTGAACGCCCAGAAGACAGTGGAGATGATTGTGGACTTCAGGAAGAGCACTGTCCCCCCACCCCCACCCTCCGTGATGGACTCCCCCATCACCTCTGTGGAGTCCTTCCGTTTCCTGGGCACCACCATCACCCAGGACCTCAAGTGGGAGCCGACCATCAGCTCCTCATCAAGAAGGCCCAGCAGAGGATGTACTTCCTGCGGCAGCTCAGGAAAGCCAAGCTGCCTGCACAGATGTTGGTGCAGTTCTACACGGCCATCATCGAGTCCATCCTCACCTCCTCCATCCCCTCCTCCATCACCTCCTCCATCACCTCCTCCATCACCGTGTGGTTCGCTGGAGCCACAGTCAGGGACAAACAGAGACTACAGTGCATTGTGCGCTCTGCAGAGGAAGTGATCGGCCGCAGCCTTCCATCGCTGCAGGACCTGTACGTCGCCCGAGCTCGAGGCCGGGCTGGTCGTATCACAGCCGACCCCTCTCACCTGCACATGGACTATTCCAACCACTCCCCTCTCACCTGCACATGGACTATTCCAACCACTCCCCTCTCACCTGCACATGGACTATTCCAACCACTCCCCTCTCACCTGCACATGGACTATTCCAACCACTCCCCTCAGGCAGGAGGCTGCGGTCCATCAGGACTAGAACCTCCCGCCACAAGAACAGTTTCTTCCCCTCTGCTGTTGGACTCTTGAACACTTCTTAACCTGTCCCCCCGCCCTTTATAAAGTCACTTTACTGCCCATCATACGTCACTTTACTTCACTGTACTGCTGTCACCTTACATTGTGTGCACCATGTGCACTTGTATATTGTAAATAGTAACTGTATCTCTATTTTAAATTTAAATTTATTCTTTAGAAGTGTTTTTTATTCTTTATTTTTATTCTTTCTTTTTATTATCTCATTCTGACTGTTGCACTGAGCCAAAGCAATTTCCAAGTCTGTGGCTTCCTGTTACTTACGTGGCAATAAAAATGATTCTGATTCTGATTCTGATTCTGACAGCCATTGTTAAAGCTGCCCACATATTTCCAAAATCAGTGGGAAAGGTGCGGGCTGGGCCCTGCACCCAACTTCAACATGCTGAGATCGTCTGTGGCAACTTATGTAAGAATTTTTGATGTGCGTCAAAACCCTGAAATTTCACACAAAAAAGAGGAACATAAAGGGAATCCAGGAAGAGGGACTCTGTCCGGAGGAGGAGGAGGAAGAGGGACGCTGTCCGGAGGAGGAAGAGGAGGAAGACGGACTCTATCCGGAGGAGGAGGAGGAGGAAGAGGGACTCTGTCCGGAGGAGGAGGAGGAAGAGGGACGCTGTCCGGAGGAGGAAGAGGAGGAAGACGAACTCTATCCGGAGGAGGAGGAGGAGGAAGAGGGACTCTGTCCGGAGGAGGAGGAGGAGGGACTCTGTCCGGAGGAGGAGGAGGAGGAGGAAGAGGGACGCTGTCCGGAGGAGGAAGAGGAGGAAGACGGACTCTATCCGGAGGAGGAGGAGGAGGAAGAGGGACTCTGTCCGGAGGAGGAGGAGGAGGGACTCTGTCCGGAGGAGGAGGGACTCTGTCCGGAGGAGGAGGAAGAGGGACTCTGTCCGGAGGAGGAGGAGGAAGAGGGACTCTGTCCGGAGGAGGAGGAGGAGGAAGAGGGACTCTGTCCGGAGGAGGAGGAGGAGGAGGAAGAGGGACTCTGTCCGGAGGAGGAGGAGGAGGAGGAGGAGGGACTCTGTCTGGAGGAGGAGGAGGAGGAGGGACTCTGTCCGGAGGAGGAGGAGGAAGAGGGACTCTGTCTGGAGGAGGGACTCTGTCCGGAGGAGGAGGAGGAGGAGGGACTCTGTCCGGAGGAGGAGGAGGAAGAGGGACTCTGTCTGGAGGAGGGACTCTGTCCGGAGGAGGAGGAGGAGGAGGGACTCCGTCCTCCTCCAGACGAAGAGGGACACCGACAGGGTCTCAATAGAGATCTGAGGAGGGAGAGGGACACAATCAGGAGGCTGAGCAAAGACTCCAATTCTGTCCGGAGGCTGAGGGGGGACTGGGTCCGGAGGCTGAGGAGACCACAAACAGAAAAAAAAAAGAAAAAGAGAATCCATGTGGAGGAAGAGGAAGAAACGATAAAAGAAAGGAGCAAAAAGAGAGGACGAGGACAAAAGGAAGCTGACAAATATACACCTCCGATGACTCGACTCAGATCATTCTTTAAATGGTAAATAAATGTTGTTTTCCAACCCTGCCGCCTGTTTCTGCTTTGGGGTCCCAAGTCATAGCCTTGACACTAATAATGCATTTCATTTAGACTCACTTCAAATAGCCCAACATAGGAGTACATGATTGTTAGAGGACCCAACTTCACCTTTGAAGGTCCTTTCATAATGAGACCTGATCACATGTCGGTGGCACCAGAACTTCCATAGGTTGGTACCACAGTAAAGTTCTATTGTCTTTTCATTATTCTGAGTTTTGTCATGAAAAGAGAGTTCTTCAAAGGCAAGGGTGAAAAATGAATTAACTTCAGCCATAGCTCTCCAGCAAGACCAATATTACAGTTTTAATGGATTAAAAAACCCACCTTCTTCATATAAGACCCTTCTGTGAATCAATGAAACCTTTATGAATGATTTCAAACCATTTCACACCTACTTTTAGGACGTGTCAAACGTCACACTGTGTTCTACTGAAACGTTTTGGTTTCATCTCATTCCGACCAATAGGAAGCCAAATACCTTACCGTTAGTCTGTTGGTCTCCAAATGTCAGAATCTGATTCGGGCTCCATTCAGACGAGTGTGTGGTGAATTTCAAGACAATCGGACAAAATCTGAGCCTTTGACGAGCCTATGAGTCCTGAAGATGGCGAATCTTTGAAGCCCCGCCTATCGAAAACCGTAGGTGCGGCGGGCACATAACACACATCCCCAGACTCGTCTTACCACCGTTGACAACATATCTCCAAATCAGGTGTCACAACTGTGTGGAAAAAAAATTTATTGGATTTTTTAAACTGGCAGGGAGGATGCTCTCAGGGATGTGGACCCATACTCAATTTTTTGGACTACATTTCAGACAGCCAATTAACTCCCCTGAGGGTCCGATCCAAAATCGAGTAATGGATATTGGTAGAGGGCCCTCTGGAGACTGTCTGTGCCGATTTAGGTGTCAGTAGGGTCAAAGATGGGGGCATAATTGAAGAAAAGCAAATGGCAGATTTTATCGCTCCGATTCTACAAATGTTAATGTCTTTTTTGCCATAATTTGAAAATGATAATACGTAGAGGTCTGACGGTCGGAACGCTGACTCAGCACCCACTTCTGATATACCTGCTCAGATTTCAGACTCTTAACTTAAACCATGTTTGAATAAATGCAAAAAAGATACATTTTCAACCGTATATTCTGGGTAATTCATTTCAAATAGCCCAACATAGGAGTACATGATTGTTAGAGGACCCAACTTCACCTTTGAAGGTCCTTTCATAATGAGACCTGATCACATGTCGGTGGCACCAAAACTTCCATAGGTTGGTACCACAGTAAAGTTCTATTGTCTTTTCATTATTCTGAGTTTTGTCATGAAAAGAAGGTTCTTCAAAGGCAAGGGTGAAAAATGGATGAACTTCAGTAACCCTTAACCCTAACCCTAAGACCTACTTGGTCGAAACGTCGATTCAGTGTTCACCATACCCACTTACCACATGACGGACCTTGGGCTCATCCCGGTGGTCGCCAACGGTGGCACCGGCAGGGCCACAGCGGTGATCGCCTGAGCCGAAGGACCCCATGGGGGTCGGGTAGCAGGGAGAGGGCCCGTGCTTTCACTCCTCCTTTCAGGGGGCAGTCTCCATACAGACCTAACCCTAACCCTTAAATCAAATGATAATTTTGAAACATTTCAATCTGGGTTTAAATCCTTGCACAGCACAGAAACTGCACTGTTGAAAATGTTTAATGATCTTCTTTTAATCTCTGACTCCGGAATCCCCTCGGTATTAGTGCTTCTAGATCTGAAAGCAGCATTCGACACTGTCGATCATAACATTCTTATCTCCCGCCTTGAGTCCTGTGCTGGAATTAAAGGCACAGCACTCAAGTGGTTCCACTCGTACCTGTCCGATTGGGTGTTTTCTGTAAATCTTGGCTCTTGCAGCTCAAAGAAAGCCTCCCTTGACAGTGGTGTACCACAGGGTTCCGTTTTTAGGACCAGTTATATTTTCACTGTACATTTTGCCCTTAGGCTCGATATTCAAAAAGCATAACATTTCATTTCACTGCTTTTCTGATGATGTTCAAATCTATTTGCCTTTGAATGTGAATTCCGATTCCATCCAAGCACTGCAGAAATGTCTTGACAATGTAAAAGACTGGATGTCAATCAATTTTTTAAACTTGAATGATACGAAAACAGAAATTGTATTGTTTGGTGAACCTGATCCGTCTGTTTTCAACGGTGTGTCTAGCCTGTCTTCCTACTGCCACCCATTTGCAAATAATCTTGGTATGTATTTCTATGGTGCTTTTAAAATGGAAAAACAAATAAGTTCAGTTGCCAGTTCAAAGCCAGCTTCTTCCAGCTGAGACTGTTGACCAAAGTTAAACGCTATCTCCCACCAAATGACCTTGAGAAGGTTGTCCACGCCCTCATATCCACACGGCTGGACTATTGTAACTCTTTATACTATGGCCTTGACCAGTCCTCAGTCCACAGACTGCAGCTGGTACAAAATGCAGCAGCTCGGATGCTGACTGGCACCAGACGACATGAGCACATTACTCCGGTGCTGTCTTCTCTACATTGGCTTCCTGTCGTTTTAGAACTAAGTTTAAAATGTTATTGTTAGTATTTAAATCTCTGCACGACCTGGCTCCGTCATATCTGACTGACTTGCTTACTTTGCACACCCCGGGAAGAGCACTGAGGTCCTCTGACCAGCTTCTTCTGCACTGTCCCAGGTCTAGATTAAAGACCAGAGGAGACCGAGCCTTTGCTGTGGCAGTGCCCAAACTCTTGAACAAGTCCGACCCTTATTGTATCAGAGCTGCCCCCTCTGTAGAGAGTTTTAAATCGCAGCTAAAGACACATTTCTTTGCTTTGGCTTTTTAACACAAGCAATGTTGAAACATTTATGATAGTGTCCTGCATTTTATTTTTATGATAAATGTTATTTGTGTGTTGTATTTTTACAATGTCTGGTAAGCACTTTGTGACAGTCATGTCTGTGTTTTAAAATTTGCTATATAAATCAACTTGACCTTGACCTTAACCTTGACCATGACCGTGACCATATCAGGAGCCGCTCTGACCCCTCTCACTCATTCATTCTCTCACTTCACTCTAGACACAACCTGAGGAAGACCTACACGGTCGAAACGTCGCTACAGTGTCTACAACCTTCTATTTACCAACAACATACTCTACAGTCTGGCTGGGAGTATGGCGTATAACGGACCTTGGGCTCGTTCCGGTGGTCGCCAACGGCGGCATCTTCAGAGCCACAGTGGCGATCGCCAGAGCCGAAGGACCCGATATTGGTCTGACAGAAGGGAGAGGGCCCGTGAAAACACTTTTTTTAGAAGACAGCCCCATGATAGAGCGCTGCTCAGTCCCCCATGTATTTTCAATGTAAACCCAACGCTTCGGACGCCCAAAACGCGTTTGGTGTGAACCCAGCAAAACCCTGCTAATAGTGTGTTGGCGCGGCGCGGCCACTGGAGGGAGCCAAAAGCAAGAAAATAACTCCCAGATCCCTCACCTCGTTCTTTTCACTTGTAGAGCCTTAAATATTTGTAAATAGTTTTTTTATTTACTTTTAAGCTCGCTTTTTGTCATTTTTTTATTTTCTTATGCTTGTAATTAATGTTTTCCACCTTCATGTAAATGCTCTATCACGTAAGATTATAAATTATTTGAAATTATGTCAAAACATTTTGTCTTCAATGGACTTCAGATTACCTAAAACGCGCTCATTTCATGATTCTGAACACACTTTTTTGCCCCCAACACTTGGTCCATTTTTGCCTTTCTTGCTCTCCCATTCATTTCAATGCAGAACATAAAAGGTGTATAACTCCCGAACCAAAGGTCCTAAAGACTTGGAACCTTGATCCATCTGACATAATTCGGGTCTTCTGAAAACACCAGTCTTCTGGAGATACACAAAAATCAAAGATTTTTTAGCAAATATCACAAGAATAGAAAGTATCACGGCATAGTGGGTGGCACCAATTGGTTTCAATGTTCAACAACGTTCCATTTCTGAGATAAAAGCCCTCAAACCTTTATGGTAGGGGGTACCATGGGTGGTTTTTTACCAACCTTAATCCTACAATACAATACAATACAATACAATTTATTCTTGTATAGCCCTAGGTCACAACAGAAGTCATCTCAGAGACTTAACAAAACCATTGAAATCACCAACACAGGTCAGAGAATCAACAGTTAAAACACATGAAGAATACAGTATAAAGCACACACAGAAGAAAATGTCCATACATGTTGTAGAATGCTAAAGTGTCCTGATCATCACCAATCCTTTCTGTTGGACACTAACTGTCCAACAAGACCCTCCTGCATCCACAAGGAACAACTCTTAAAAAACCCAGTGGGAAAAAGTGAGAAACCTTGGGGAGCACTAGGGAAACCCACAGGGAGGGAGACCCATATGAGAAAGGGATCCGCTCCTCCGGACGGACAGGCTAATGATCTAGGACCTAAGCTAGCTACAGGACGTGGACCAGTGGACGCTGAACGTGGACAGGTCCGGTGCAGGACTGAAGCACTCCCAGGCGGGTCGGGCGGGGCAGTCCGCAGGTGTAGATGGAAGAGGCCAGGCTCAGAGATCCCGTCATCGTACCATGAAACAGACAATGGGACAACGGGTGAATAGCAATGAACAAACTACAGTCAGAATCCTAAAAATGCTAAACAGATAAAGTACGAAGGAGGAGAGGATAGTGCTCAAGTTACCATACTTCTCCAGCAGGGGGCGCCCTATGCAGCTTGACTGACAGTCAACCCAGCACAGCTCTTCAGACAGTCTACATCACAAACCAGCTCCACTTTAAACCTGTGCTATATTGTGTTTTAACCTGATGAAGACCTGACACGGTCAATATATAATTTTTAACCTTTCAATATAGCACCTTTTAACCTCCATTTTAATTACTATTTATTGTAATTATTTATTCCATTTTATTCCTTCTTTTAAACCTGT